GTGTGTGTGTGTGTGTGTGTGTGTGTGTGTGTGTGTGTGTGGTGTGTGTGTGTGTGTGTGTGTGTGTGTGTGTGTGTGGTGTGTGTGTGTGTGGTGTGTGTGTGTGTGTGTGTGTGTGTGTGTGTGTGTGTGTGTGTGTGTGTGTGTGTGTGTGTGTCGTGGGGGTGTTGAACAGCTCTATGTGATAAAGGCAGCGCTCTGTGGGAACAGTTGCTCACTGTCCTCACCTGAACTCCAACAGTGATGCTGCCTTCAGTCCAGATCTCGAGGTCAAATGACCCAAAAACAAGTTCTGTATAAAGATTCAACTTTATTGTGATTGTTTCTCCACTAAGTTTTGGATGACATTTGTCCATCTGTCTGCTGAAAATATATTTGTATTTATTCCATGACTAATGTGTGATCCAAGTCGTTTATTGGACAGAGATTTAGTCCAAAAAGAAATGGCATGGAGGACAATTTGTTATTGTGGTGTGTTCAAAAGCAATGCCTCTAAAGCTTTGGTCTGATAACATTAAAGAGCCCCTCAGTGTAAAGGAATATTTTGGTCTTGTTAAAGTATATAGAGTTTAGTGATTTGTCCTCGGGAATCTGTTTAATATGGTTGAAGTGTATTCCTGCCTGTAATGTGATCCATAGCTTCTCAGGAAGACACAGGTCAAGAGGTCATCTGATGTCTTGTGGGGGAGAAGCTTGGCTCATGTGGGTTTACAATGCAACGAGTCTTTGTCTCGACATCTGGCATGCATTAAAGGAAAACCCGCGTGTTTTAGGGCCCTCCTCTTCTCCATGTATAGATGGGTGCTTGGTGCTTTTGGGGCAGAGTTTGCTGGTATCTTACATGAGAACTGTGATATGCTGTGAACTCTCCGGCCGTTCAGGCTCTCAATAAATATCAGTGTATTGACAGGCGAATCCAGTTTCCCTCATTTGATGATGCGCTCAACATTGCTGCAAAGAAGTTTTTACTTCACACTCAGCATACTGTGATTTGGCATATTTTGTGTGTGTACCACACTGTGCTGTTATCCTGCTGAGCCATCTGCATAGCAACAGCTTACCAGGTAGCCCTGCTAATCCAGGTAGGCTGCTCCGCGTCAGGGAGGACGTGGAGACGTGTGGCGCAGTGGGTTAGTGCGTTGGTGTTGGGATCAGGGGAGCACAGGTTCAAACCCCACTGCAGTCAGCATGTCGTTGTGTCCCTGGGCAAGACACTTCACCCCAAATTGCTCCTGTGGGGATTGCACACAGTATTGAGTATGTAAGGATAAAAGCGTCTAACAAGTCAAATGTAATGTAACATGTAATCAGGAAATGAAGCAGAGTGGGAAATGGTTAAATCAATAATAACCACATTTCCCCTCAGGCTTAAGGCTTGTGGCTTGACTTTGACACACCGGGCGAGTGCAACAATGCAACAGCAATCTGATCAGGCTGTTATATAGAGGACTGACTCTGGATTTTGGGATGATTGTCAGTTTTTATCAGCTCACAACTTGGCAACGTTGGAGATTAGTCACAAACAGCAAGTCAGCACTTTGCTCCATCCTCAGCATATTACAGACCAGTTTCTGCAGATTTGTGAAGGAGAATGCTGAGTCATGCTGTTTTAAAAGACACAAGTATATTTTGTCAAGTGTAAAATGGCACCTGAGGTGTCACATTAGGAAGCTTAACTATGTTTTGCCCTGCCTAACATATTCAGGTCAGAGATACTCTGACTAAATCCGTTTTAGGGTCTTTCAGAGGTGCGTTCTCTCATTACGCTGCGCCGTGTAAACCAGCTCCATCGCCTGCTTATTAGATTTAGTTGGACAAAGAACATTCGGCTAATTAATGCTGCCCGCAGCCTGTGTGTGAGCGGCTGTGTGTGTCTGTGCTGAACTGAGATCTGTGAACCTCATTAGTGTTTGTGTCCTTGTGTGTACTCCCGGTTTTCTGTCTCTTTGCCAGTGTGTAAATGTAAATGTTATCTCTGTGTGTGTATGTGTGTGCGTGTGTGTGTGCGTGTGTTTGTCTTTGACCCTCCGCCGAGGCAGGATATGCAGAGGGACGGGCAGAGATTTGCATCTGCAGCAGCACCGGGATCTGTTTGATCTGTCCACTTATAACACGTCAGGAGGCCTTCCTGCACAGAACCTGGGCACATACAGTATCTCACTTCTCAGGGAGGGAGACCAACCCAAAGAGGGAGGGAAGAGAACCGAGGCTGAAGGGACAACATAGCATCGTGAGAGAAAAAGAAGAACACAAATGAGGGTGGATTTAATAAAGTTCAAACAGAAAGGGGGGGAAAGCTGTATAACTAATAGCAGTGAGTCAAAAGAAGTCAGTTATACTGAGTTATTGAGGGGAACGAGCGGGAAATGGAAAATAAATAGTCGTAACAGATTGATTTTGTGCCTCATCACATACTTACTTGTCTTTTAAGTGTAATGGAAAACATGAAATGGGTGCACTCATACAGCAACAGCACAAGTAGATTTCTTTTTTACGATTTTTCCATATTGATATAAATCACAAATAATTTGAATTCAGGTTCCATCCAGTTTCTCATACAGAATATCTACACACACACACACACACACACACACACACACACACACACACACACACACACACACACACACACACACACACACACACACACACACACACACACACACACACACACACACACACACACACACACACACACACACACACACACACACACACACACACACACAAGCACCCAGCCTCCTCTCATTCTTATATTGCCCAAACAAGTTCAACCATTATGCCTTTTAGAACATAATACTTAGCTCCAATGAATTATAAATGCCCATGGTTTCCAAGCGGCTTATTTTTAGAGCATGCACACACACACACAAATACACACAGAGATTGCTTTACAAAGCTGGGGTTACGTCCCCTACTGAGGCATACCGAGGTAACACTCAGCACTGTAGTGTGTATGAAGATAATGGGCGTGTATGGTCTCCATATTTCTAATTTCCCTGTGTGTTCATGATGAGCTGCCATTTAATGCATTCACAGGGGAGACATTCGCATTTGATGAATTTATCCTCTGTAGACAACGTTTTCTCTGTGGACCTGCTAGCATCACTACAGGGGAAATGATGTGGTGCAAAAACGGCATAATATGAAATATTATAAGATGAACTTTACTCTCTTGAAATGTGACAAATGAAATGAAAGGAACACATATTTCTTTGTGCTGGAGACAAATTAAACTAATATCCAACTTGGAACATAAGGTTGCCTTTCTCTATAGCAATCACTTGTTTCCATGGAAACAGACTCATTTTAATTATAATTTACAAACAAAATTAATTGTCAGAGTTTTATATATATCAGGATGCTCGTCATTGTCGTTGCTGCTCCTTGTTGCCAAGGAGATTAAACAGTCACTTTCGTATGAATACATCCTGCAGATGAGGCGGCTGCAACATGTTTTTGATCTACTTAATTGTTGGTTAGGGGTAAAACATGGCATTTGTTCATATTAAACTACCCGAATTTGACTTCCTTTACCTCTGCACTTTCAAAAATGAAGCAAATATTCCGAAAGACATGCAAATGAAGAAAAATCTTCAGCAGATTCACAGAACACGTGTTTACTAAAAGCGCTGCATAAATGAAACGCCGCAAATACAACACTTTGGAAAATGGGAAGAAATATTTTGCAGCACGGTTCTTCCTAATGGATGTGTTTTGGGCCGTTGAAATACATCTTTCCCTCAAATGAATCCTATAAAGAGTACCACCTTCACTTTGAGGAGGGGCTTCTGCTGTCCATTATCACTGAAGGCAGGGACAGCGTTATACTGCACCCCCTCTTACTCCCTCTGACTGAAACTAATGGCTCCTTCCACTCAGGTTGACACTGATGTACTATTAGGGCAGGTTACTGCACAGCCCAGCAGAATCAGGGGTCCCCGATACATAAATCAAACTCCACGCTAGTGAGGCAGTGGGTTTGTAACCCTGCTGCACGATAGGAGCTTGACAATACAATGACCGCAGAATGGTATTCGGCAATTATATTGGTCCGTGTGTGGCAGGCATTCATATTTGAAAGAAAGAAATGCTGTAGGCTGGATGCCTACTGGGGGTGCTATAAATAGCCTCCTGGTGACAGCAGGACTTAGAGCTTAATGTGAGGGAGAGCATCTTCCAGAGATGTCTGTTTATTATTTATAACTTCATATACATTTCATTTTCTACACCAGTAACCCTGCTCATAGCTTCTTTACATCCAATTTTGCCAGGGCTTTAAACTTAATACTAAAGTCAGACAAATATCTTAAGAACCATCTTTTCTTCGGTTCGACTGCTGTGCTGATGAATGAGGAGCATTTAGACATGAGGCATTAACAGGGTCACACTAAATGTACCTCCTGTTGTGAAGCCACAGGCAAATCGCGGTTGAAAATCTGAGAGCAATTACATTTATTCCCCATTTAGCATCCAGAGAACGATAAGAAGGGAGAGACATTTCTGATTGCTGTGTTTTGCATACAAAGACAGGTTTTCTGTGCGCCACTTTCGGTGTCAACCATGGTAAAACAGAATTGAAGTATTTGGTAGGCATTAATGTTAACACGAGGTGAATGGATGTTTTCTCTGACTGTACCCGGCAGCAGGGCGCACTCGGGGCATGTCTGGATTTATGAAATCATTCCGCTCCAGAGGCTTCCCTCTCTTCGGACCTCTTGACCTTTTCACCCGCATTTCTCTGGCGGGCCTCTCCGCGCACACAGTGTTATCTGGGAAGAAGATGTTTGAATGTCAGTGTGTTAATGGAACGCTCCAGGGCCAAACTGTGTTGTAACTGGAAAGCTATTTCATTACTTTGAGTTAGGTTTTAACATCTTGTTTTGCACGGATAATAATGTATTTCTTTTAAGATTGATGGGGTTACAATTTCAGTGATGTATCAATTCACCAAAGCCATAATACATTTGATTTCTAACCTTTAATTTCCTCTTGCTTAGGTTCTAACTTCCTGTGCGCCACACATATCATCCCCGTGAAGAACGAGGAAGGCGTGGTCATGATGTTCATCCTGAACTTCGACTACGTCCTGGAGGAAGGCAGCAGCGACTCTCTGGAGAAACTCAACCACACCACGCCATCCAAAGCTGACCACCGTGAGTAAAGGGGATACAACATCTATACCCTAATGCTTTAAATCAACCATTGCACATCTCTTGTGATGTAGGTGCTGCAGGGGAAGAAATAAGTCGTCACAGATTGGAACATAGAAAAAGGAAAGGAATGATAGTAATGTAGCTGCCACTCATGACCTTTTTACTTGTAACCTTTTCACACATCCACATACATCTTTGTGACATGACCCTTTATATTTATCTCAATGCCCTGACAGACAATGCATCATATCTTGCCTCCGTAGCATACTGCTAAAACTTGTCTAATTTGTGCATTAGTGCCCAGCAGGAGTTCCCTGCTGGACAGCTCCTTGGGCATGTTGACACCAGCGTTTAGCAGACGCCGATGTGTTAGCCTGCCATCATCTCAAAGGTCCTGCCCAATTATAGCTACAGTGTGCCTGGATGGCCTGATGAACTAGCAGAGCCCCCGTCCCAGAGCTGTCTCCTTAATAGCGCTCTCCAACATCTTCTTGATGCCTCCACTCAGCTCTGTGTCTCCACTGTGACATCAGGCGCAGCAGCATGGAGGACCAGAGGTCACCCCTAGATGACTGTAATTGGATAAGGGTCCTAACAGGCTGTGTTGCCTCATGGGGTGTGCGATGTGTGTGTGGAGTATATAAGCAAGTGTTGTCTCCGTGTGCCGGATCAGTGAAACCATGCGTATAAGCTTTTCACTTTGTGTGCGTGTCACTGATAAGGCCTTCCTCTTTCACTTTTCTATGGAGGCTAATTGCTCCAAGCACAAGGGCAGTCCCTGATGGAGCACGCCTGTATGAATCAAAGTCTATCCGTCTAAATATATAAGTAGGCGTTCCTGAAAATCTGTTCGTCAGGTCTTGATATGTTTACAAGGTCTAGCCTCAGTGCTGCCTACATGTAACCTCTGCCGTTGCTGTTCCTCATTTCATCACAGCCCTCCCAGAGACCTAGTATTGCATTTTTTACTCGCAGATGGACAGAGGTCACATATTCTGAATAACTGCATAATTTAAGAGAACATCACTCACTGCTACGGATGTAAATTCAACTCAATGGAAGCCATGGTGTTACTATTCATCGGGCAGTTGTGTAGCAGCAGCTGCTTCTGAATGTTGTGAGGTGATGATCCATGTGTTGCATTATCTCGACTCCCTCTGGGGGATGAGCAGCCATACATTCGCTGCTGCCTAAGCATCTATCCGTTCATTGTGCCACCATCTTTTCTCGCATTATGTGGCTACTTCCACACATCCATTAATAACACCAAGACAAGTGGAATCAATCACTTTGTGACCTCAGCTCTTTTGGTTTAAAATGTTTTTACATAAAAACCTTAAAACACAACCAGAATGACCAAACATTCAGGAGATACCATATTGGAAGACCGCCCCACCAAAAGACACAGATATCTTCTTCAACAAGAAACAAAGCAGTAATATGTCGAGGTAATGAGGTAACATTATAAAGAAGCCCAATTTAGCTAAATGTAGGATCTTTGAAGATTTGAAGGTTTTGGTCAAGGGCTGACGATCAGCTCATTTGCTTTGCTCATCTCATTTGGACTTCTGCCTGTACTTTGACACAGCCTTTGATTTCTGCAGTGGTCGGTATAGGCGTCCGATATGGGTCAGCATAGTAGGACCCCTTTAAATGAGTGTGTGGACACAGAAGAATAACCCGTGGTACTCTCTGGAGCCTGTGAGCAATATGAGTACAAGGAGTCCAGGTAAACAATACTTAAGGAACACTTCAGTCTGTAAGCACATTAACTGCACTGCTGTGTTTTATTCATCTAACATCCTGACAACAGGAGACGGAGACAAACAGAAACAAAGCCGTCTTTGTCCCTCTTTTACCAAAGGAGGAAGCTTTATTGTTCTCTTTCTAATTCTCCCTGGCATCTGAATCATGCTCACATTACAGAAAGACATTTCACTCCCCAACACAGGGATCTAAGGGCCCAATTAATATTCAATGCAAATATTACTATCTGGTATCATAGCAACAAGGGCCACTGTACGTCCATTGGCTGTGTAAAGCCGGCGGTGAGTTTTAGCAGGGAAAGAATGAGAGTGTTGGAGAGGCAGTGAGAGTGAAAACACACATCTACTGTACACACACACACACACCAGTAACAGCACTCAAAGGCAGCTTATTCCTGCAAGGTTCAGCCCTTTTAAAATATTACAATTAAATATAGCTACTCGCACATTTTACAGCACACAGCGTGACAGAATTATGAGCTAATTAAAAGACTTATGGCGTATGTGTTTACCCTCGAGGCGCAGTAATACAAAGCGTTAAGCATGTAAAGGCTCTTGAGCGTCCATTTGTTATTCGGGTTAGGTGTCTTACATCAAACTGTCGGAAATGTAAAATGCTAGATTCATTGGGAGAACTGTCTTGAAGTGGTGTAATGCAAGTGAAAAGTGTTTGAGGCAGCCTTGCTAAACAGGGTTTTGTTGTATTGTGCAGAGTCTTTTGGAATATTAATGGAGACGCTGGTTTGGGTTTAGCTCCGGGCGGATGAATCAGATGCTAGTTTTGATCAGCAGTCCTATCTGCCTCACAGCACGGGCTCAGATGAAACACAACTTTGTTCACGAGCAGAAACAAGAACTCATTTCCTCTTCACCAAGATGAATCACTTGTTTAGTTGGTTATGAGCGCTAGCGTCAGAACTAGCTCTGATCACCAAATTAATGCAAATGATCATTCCCAGCATCTGGCGAGAGGCTTCATTCGAACACACCACACTGACCCAAGACAACGCCAAGGGTTGTGTCTAAAATGACTTTATTTTTCTCTCAGTCTCACTGGAAAGCAGCAGTGAGGAAGAAGAGATGCATGCTGTTGCCCCCTCCTGAGTCTCCAAAATTCAATTTGATGTCCATTTTACCACCTATTGTGTCTCTAAGTACATCCTTAACTGGCCCAGTCTTTGCACATATTGCAGTTCAGCGAGGTATGTCAAATAGAATGTGCTGGAACAAATATACAAAGGACACTAATGTAAAAGGTGTGTTTCTTGAATGCTTTTATGAAGAGTCTTCCCTGCACATGATGGCAGTAAGACTTGTTTTCAAAGAGTGAGACGGTGCTCTGATATGTATGGCATATGTTCAGGCGACTAAATGATTCACAACATGCAGGCCATGCTTTGCAGTCCATATGTGAAATCCTGAGAGCGCAATTTCCCCCTTGAAATGTTTGCAAATGTAGTAAAATGCAACTAAATGAGCGTTTTTGGAAAGTGTGTGATGTGTGTAGCATAGCCTCATTTTATTACTTTGTATGATTTTAGGTTTCTTCACTTTTTCTTCCATAACAGTCCTTAAAATCACTTTTCCCTTCATCTCCCCAGGAGCTATCAATCTCACATTAAAGTCCTGCGTATATTACTTTACAAGACCTCTCAACGCTCTACTGACATTATAATAATTCACCAAATGTACTCCTCCATGAATAATTGAAGGGTATTGAAGATTAAACTAGTGCCTGAGGCAGAAGGTGCATTTGTTTTGATCTGCCAGGGTCTTTTTAACATCGCTACATTGGCAGGCTTCTCAGTGCTATTGGCGAGTAAGTACAAGCTCTCAGCAAGGATATTACAGACCGCAAGCAAGTTCCGCTACAAACACAAGGTAAAAACACAACACAACGTTGGAATGGGTTCTGTGGTTCTCACTGGCTCATTAAAAACCACCAGACATTATCAAAGCAGTCAAATAATGTCATAACAAAGACATTGGCTCTAAAAGAGATTCTATTGGATGTCTGTCTGAGGTCTTTCTTGCAAGTAAACACCCAAAATCATAAGCCGAGGAATTATACAATCACATAACCACCTTTATCTTAGCGATGGAGGTAGCGGTTTGTTTATGGCGATTGCTTACTCTGTGTTATGTTTGACATTCATCTAAATCCCATTCTCACCTTTCAATCTCAGGGAAAGGGAGATTCTTTCGCTTCCGTTTCCCGGGCTTACCTCTCCTTGGCATCAACAAGCAGTCCCTGCCCCAGGAAGACCCCGACGCTGTCATGGTGGACTCCCCTCGCCACAGCGACGGCTCGGTGGCCACGCGCGACTACCAGCTTCCCACCACCCGCGAGAGCTGCAGCCCCTCCTACGCCAACGACACCCGCGCCCTCATCGGCCCCAGCCATTGCTCCACCCCTGTGTCCGGGCCCTTGGACCACTCGTCGCCCAAGGGCCCCTGGGACCGGACGTACCCCGACTGCTCCATAAGGCAGACCCAACACCAGATCAAGGAGGTTGTCGCTGCTCCTTCAATCCCAGGACTCACTCAAACCGCCTCCAGGGAGAGAGTGTGCAGTATTCGCAGAGCCTCCTCCGTACACGACATGGAAGGATTCGGGTCTAACTCCAAGATGGCGTTCAGGGACAGACACGCCAGTGAAGGTAGGAATCTTCTGCTCTAGTATGCCCCGAATGTACGCTTGACATTTGAATTTCAAACAACTACTGCCCCATTTGTTTAATGTCGTTATTATGTGTGTATAGAAGTTAGTTTGACACTAAAAGGATGTTGTAACATTCTCTCTGATCAAAATGCTCACTTTACTATGAGACATGGAAACTTGATACCTAGTGCACACTGAGAATGTGGTTTAACTTAAAAAATGTGACAGACAAAGATGATCTTTTGAAGACATCGTTTTTTTAAAGTTAACATTTGGCCCTAATGTTGTATTCACATTAAACATTTACCAAAATGTTGCAATACAATGACATTACCAAACTCCCTATGGTCCCAAAATAGGATATTAAAGATGTGGCGTACCAGTCTCTTAATCAGTATTATAGTGAGTCACGATCCACACTGTGAGCCATTGATCTACCCCCAGCCTGAATCACTCCTTTGGACGAGGGTAAAAGGGGCCCCAGACTGGCCAATCAGTCTACCCCCCCCTCCCCTTATGTGCAATCCTCATTCAAATAGCTCCAAGAGGCTGACACAGTACTATGTCTACTTCACGAGTCATGAATTGTTCAAGGGGACAGTAGCGGGGGTTCGATGCCAGCTTCCATTTGTCATCGTAGAAGCACCAGAAGTTTCTCTCACACCCCCCCCCCCCCCCCCCTTTTCTTTCTTCTCCAACACAGACAATGGTCGCAATATTAAAGGTAAACAGTTAAGCACGTCTATAAGATAACTTCACTAAACCCGCTTGTTGCATGAGTTTTCCCACACGATTTAGTTCAGATGGATGACTTTGTGAGAGTCTTAAAAGTCTGGCAGCGCACTAAGTGACTCAGTCTCAGTGCACACGACCCGCTGATCCCAAGCCAGTTGCCCGGAGGACGTTTTCTCAGTTCAAAAAACACGAACTCTGCACGCGCCTGCATGAAGCAACACATTTACACTTCTCTCCTGCTTCCGTTCATTGAAGAAAATCAATGAGCCTCTACGAGTCGATGCCTCCCACTGTCTGTAACCTTTGTTTCCTTCTGTGCAACCTCTGGATTCCTGCTGCCATGTCTTAGTGAATGAAAACCTGACCGTGTTTCCATTGGGATTCTATATTCTCACCCTTTGAATCCTTTAGATTGCAAATGACCTGTAGCAGTGCTGATGCTGCATGCATTTCCCAACATTATCCCACATGATGCATTCATGTTTGATGGAATGAGTTCCCTAATCAAAGTGTTTTTTTAATATGAATTCAGTGGTGGAAGTTAACCAAGTTCATTTACTCAAGTACAATTGTTGTAGTACTCGTACTGCTTGATTTGTATTGCACAGGGCTGCCATAGTGTTCCATATCCTGTACTATATTGTGATATTTGAAGTGATGTTTGTACCCATGACTACTGCAATCCCCCCTCCCCTCCGTATTCCCGCTGTCCCCTTTACCCCCTTTCTTCTCTCTCCTGGTTTGCTAGTGTCTCGCTCCTGGATGGCTGGGGGTATGGCTTCAGCTTTTCCTCTTGAAGTTATTTTTCATGACTGCGATGACATTTCCTTACTGTGGCATGTATTGAAGCTGTGCATGCAATCTCTCATCCTGAGCTGTCAGTTTCTCTGTGCTCCACTCTCAATCAATGTACTGTACTGTGTGAAAAGGAAAAAAACGAAAACCTTCCTCTGCCGGCTCACACGACTGAGTCAGCAAATCTCTCTTTTTCACTTTTGATCACGTCAGTGACAAGAAAGTTGTTTCTAATATGCTGTGAGAACATTTGATTCCAACGCACCTCATTAGACAGATTGATGGTTTGACTAACTGTGTGGAGTCTTTTCTTTCACCAACAGTGTTCTTCATTATCTTTTAATGAGAAACTTTGAAAGGCCTGTTCACCCTAGACAGGTCAATCTGAGGGTTTATATTTCAGTATCTGTTGTTTTCTCCGTGTTGTGGTTGAACTCACTCCAAACGTAAGGGCCTGCCCATGCTCACTCCCCATGTCACAACAATCACTCGAGAACTAGATGTCCTGGATTCAGAACGCCTACAATAGCACAACTGTAGTAAAAGATGGAGCAGCTTTTAATGCCGCGTCCTCCCTCTGTGGCTTTCTCTTCCAGGGCCGCTGAGCCAGATCAAATCCAGCCTGCTGGGCTCCACCTCCGACTCCAACCTCAACAGGTACAGCACCATCAACAAGATCCCCCTCATCACGCTCAACTTCTCCGAGGCCAACAACGAGAAGAAGTGCCCCTCCCCTCCGTCCTCGGAGAATACCATCATCGCCCCGAAGGTCAAAGACCGCACACACAATGTCACCGACAAGGTCACGCAGGTAAGACGCTCACCAAGCGAGGTTTCCACACAAATATGTGGAAGTTTCTGACATGATGGAAAAATAAATTGAATTTCTTGGTGTTTTTTTTTACGTTGAAATCCCCTTTGACAAGAGGTGCGTTCAAGTGCTATGTGACAATTAGCCTGGGTGCAGTATCACAGCTAATTAAAGGGATTTTGACATTCTCTCAATAATCAAGAGGAATGGTTTTGATTATGAAGCACCGGCACAGCACAGATTTATGACAACATAGTCAAAGTCGTGTGGTCTAAAAAGTGGAAGGGACTCGTAATTCATTGTTATAACGATATATATATTGTATTTAAATAGTTTTAAATGCACTGTGTGGAACATTTTTAGCACAATCTTCCTCACGGTTATTTTTATTAATGTTGTATAAAATCCATTATCAAACCATCTGGGAGTAATTCTCTGTTTGGAAAACAATCAACAAGCGTTCATAATTCATACCTCTGATGCTCCGTTGACTGTGCAAGTGTGCATACTGCAGGGGAGAGACATTGGAATTCAATAATAACGCTCATCATAATATCGTTTACTATCATCACAAATCACTCGCACAGATTGAGCGGACGATGAAGTCGGCAGATTGCTTCCACACCCCTCCTCCCCTCCCCCTCTCCCCCCATGATTCATTGGAACTCGAGGGGTGTGATACATAAAACGGCAGAGATGTCTATCACTGGAGGCAGATCATGGGGATCCTCTTACAGCTGCCAGACAGCGTCCATAGCTCCATCTCTAGAGTTACACAGAGGCTTAGAGGTCTTTCTCACCTTCCCGCCTCGGCTGAGGGACAGGGAGGACTGTAAGTGAAGTTTTGTCAGGGGTAGAACGAGGCTGCCCCAAACCACTGATCACGTCTCATTTCTACATTTCGCCCATTAGTGGTGTAATGGATAGAGGGCGCAGAAAGTGACCCCTGCAGCTTAGAGGCTCAGCAGACCCCAGTGCTGCTCACTGACCTCTCCATCCAGCATTAAAGTCAAAGTTATTAAGAAGAGGAGAGGAGAGGCCTATTAACGTGCTTTTAATATCATCTTGTGGCACACCAGAGGACCTGAAAACAAGTTGCTGTGTCATTTCTGCTTTGTTGAAGTGTGCCGAATGTTTTCTAGCCACGGTAGCTAGTATACACATTGATTATACGTTACATTGTTCTGTTAACTTACACAATACACTTAAGTAAAAAACCATCTTATTTCCTCATTTATATGCATTGTATTTATTATTGAGGTACCACAATCTGGCCCCTCTTGCTCCGTCGGTGTCCGGGCGTATGGTGTGCCACCTCTTTGTCTCATTATGATAGTAATTATCAAACTAACAAAAAGATGAATCCACGGGTTTTTATCTGTAGACAGTTCTCTAGACAACTGACTGTGAGCCGCACAAAGCCACAGCAGATGTCCTGACTCTGGACTCCTCTGAGTTCATCTGAAGCCACCATCGGGCGTGTGAGCAGACTCGCTCTCCGCTGGCCTTGGCTGCCTCACAGCGCCCACAGGCAGATGGAGGCTGCACCCAGGAAGCCAGGCGACTGATAAAGAAAGAGACTAGCAGCTCTCGTGCTGTTTGGTACAAATTGAATGTCGCAGTGCATGCAGCTCATGCACACATGAGCCTTAAATACCGATTCATGTTATTCGAGTTATCTGGAGCTCATTGTTAATGATTGGAGCCACGTGATTAACCGCAGAAACATGAAACAACACTCCACTCTTATAAATGATAGCCCAGCCCAGACCCAAAAGAAGCGGAGAACGCTGATGCTCATTTGCATATGGTTTGAAGCCAAGCCAAACGCACAACGAGCTTCCATTATCCCACAAGAGAGAGTTAATTTGCGCCAAGTGCACATAGCTACAGTAGGTGTGTTTAAATAATTAAGATAGGATCTTTTATTTAGAAACAGATTGGCTACAACACATTAATCCAGAGCTGTCACTCAGCCAACCAACAGTCTCCTCCCAGCATGCCGAGGGGTAATGTACCCGTGGGGGTGTAGTGCAGAGTTACCATGCATCATCATTATTAATCATAAACTGCATGAAAACAGAACAGTGCTGTGCCAGGACAGTCAAGGCTAGCTTTTTTCTATATTTATAATAATTATTATAAATAATTGAGGTTAATTTGTATATTTTCATACACAGGATGCAGCTACATTGTGTAATAAATGTTCACACAATACAAAACAAACAGAAAAGTAGGATAATCTTTTAAAAGTGTCTTTGTTATGGCAAGTTTAAAAATGTACCTATTTAAGAAAACAGAAATCTAAGCAGCGGTATTTGAAAGTCAACAGCAATTACACATTGGGTTGTGAGAGCGCGATGAAAGACGCATCGGGAACACTGGCTTTTAATGCAGTGGCAGCGCGATGAATAATGAATCCCCTTCCCTTTGTTTGTCCTTTGGTTTCTGATCGATTTGAAAGGTTATCCCGTATTAGAGGGTCGAAGCATTTGACCCTGACCCCTTTGAGGGCAGGAGTTTCTAATAACCAACTCAATTATTAACACTTCAGCCTTTCCTCAGGCATTACATCATCCTTCCTCTCAGTCACGGGGGGTTTTAAAGGTGACCAGAGGTAGAGATAAGGGGACATGGAGTCTCTCGCTCAATGCTACATTCTATCTCTCTTTGCATTCCTCCTTATAGCTTCATTAATCAGCAGTGAAGGAGCCATGCCCTGAACATTCCTGGCTATTGAAGTGTCACACACTTAGATGAATAGATGTATCCTCAGCTCCTGCCTATAATTACTTCCGAGTCATCGAGAGTCTTATCACAAATGGGCCATAATGCTGCTGTAATATTGATGTTAAAAGCTATTCAGTGATGTATGGTATCTGCAATAACAGAGGTAATGACGGTGACATCCAGGCTAGCTGGAGGGAGTAGATAAAAGCTCCACTGTAAGGATATCATGCAGGCTGTTGTTTTTTTCTGTTGGTTTCTTCATAATGATCTTTTTATTTTAATGTATCTTTTAGGTGTTTTAATATCTGTTGAATTGCTATTATGTTTGTCTTTTCTTTTAGTATAGGCAAGTGGAAATGCCAATATGATTAGATAGACAATACCAGCTGACATTTTTGATTCACATTTAATTCTTTCAGTAACTGTGTAGAAAACATGGGTTATGTGTCATATAAAAGAATGTTTTTTAAGCGTACTTCAAATGTCAACTTATAAGAATAAGTGCTTTTTGATCAGCCTTCTCTCGACACATGAATGATTCATTTAGGGAAGTAATCTGCTTATGCAATATTTTCCTTTAATTATTAGATAATGTTAAAGTGCATTAGGATTGTACAGTCTGTACAGCCACGCTGCTGAAGTTCAACTGCAACAAACATGACCTTTACTTGACCTAATCTTCAGTCATATGTCATAATGCAATTCCACCAACCAGCACGCACATTGATGTAAAGGCACGGAAATGCTAATGCACTTATCTGAACTGTATTTACTGCTGCTCTTCATTCTCATACCAGAAATACTGTTCAGGCTATTTAGGCTGTATAACCTGTGCAATTATTTAACTCTGCATACATACGTCATTATACCGTTCACACACTACTTTTTCACCCCCCCCTAGGTTCTGTCTCTGGGCGCAGACGTGCTGCCGGAGTATAAGCTCCAAACCCCCCGGATGGACCACTGGACCATCCTGCACTACAGCCCCTTCAAAGCAGTGTGGGACTGGCTCATCCTGCTGCTGGTCATCTACACGGCCATCTTCACGCCATACTCCGCAGCCTTCCTCCTCAACGACATCGAGGAGCAGAGGAGGCGGGAGTGCGGCTACTCTTGCTCCCCCCTCAACGTGGTGGATCTGATCGTGGACATCATGTTCATCGTGGACATCCTCATAAACTTCAGGACCACGTACGTCAACGCCAACGAGGAAGTAGTCAGCCACCCGGCCAAGATCGCCATCCACTACTTCAAAGGATGGTTCCTCATAGACATGGTGGCCGCCATCCCCTTCGACCTGCTGATCTTCGGCTCTGGATCGGACGAGGTAAGCAGGGCGGAAATTATATTTATATAAATATATATACTGTATATATATCATAAATATGTATTGCATTGTTGGAGGAGCCTGGGACTTCCGATTGCCAAAACTACACTGTAGCTTTTGTGCATATGACAATAAGGCCTTGAAATAGAATGTTCATGGCACAGAAGTGTATGTGAGATGCTCACGTGAACAGCATGGACACAGAAGCTAGAGTTTGCCAACAAACAACAATATGGAATTCCTTCTGCTTCATGCATGTGATACTACTTTTTATGGCACACACTTTTTTACCTTCCCAAGCTGAGTCCCACCTTGGTGTACTCCACTGTCATGGCTGCAGGCCGCAGCTTCAGCAGTCATGCTTCTGAGCTGTTTTGACTACTAAAGCAATCTGACGCTGGGCTGTCACATCTGCTTTCCTCAGCCCTCTTTTCATCAGAGCCAGACTGAGAGGCCCCGGGCCATCCTAATCAGTTAAGAAGGTCCCAGCCGCCCTAACTACTGGCTGTGAGAAACTATGTGGCTCGTGTGTGTCTGAGGGAGATAGCTCAGCAAGTTATCTAATGCTCAGTTACAGAGAGCAGCTGACAGAGTGAGAGCTTGCTTTGTATCTAGAACCTCTTGAGTATTAATAAGTTAAGTGAAGTGTCTGACATCTAGTTTTGCATAATGGAAGAAAAGCAAGCTACTGGAATGTGTGATGTAACACCTCCCAGTGAAAACACCACAGCCTGATGTGTGTGTGTTGTCAGTTTGCCGAGTCATTATTTACCATTAGGTGTGTGTTCCTGCGAGGGGGTCCATGGCTACAGGCTGGCAGTGATTGGCAGGCGGAGGGAAAAGAGCAGACAGCTGAGCGGCGCGATGTATGTCCCCGTCACACGGCGAGATGACTGGTGCGGGGACAGAATGTGTGTTCCCGCTACAGCTCGTGTCAAAAGAACACAGTGAGCGCGGTGACAAAACGTGGTATTATTAGCGCCTCCAATCACGAGCAGAAACTGAAAATAACACATCCTTGTACATTTTTTGATCCTGTCTTTTAGGTGCTTTATTTTAGTTCTGTGTGCAATTACTATTTTTAGACTTTAAACTCGTGCACCTTTGTTGCCTGGAAACCATCTCTGACAATATGCTAAGATTTCTTCTGCTTTGGCAGGGTGAGATTCTTGCAGGGTTTCAGCTCTGCAGCTGGCAAATGGATAGAAATAGTCCGGTGCTGATTTCTACCTACAGGAGTCATTTGAGCGCCTCCATCATTTGCATAATGTCCCGTGGGGTAGGATGAGATGATTTGCCTATTATGTCGACGCTCACATGCACCTTGTTTCCAAATGTGAGATAAAAAGGTGCTCCAAACCAGAATTTAAACATTATTTTCCTTTTTCTTTGCACATTAACAACTGAACTAAAATTGTCTAAGGGGAAGTTTAGGAGATTCTTTTGGAATTAAGGGGGCAAAACCACTCACAAGAACAATCTCAGTCACACATTTACATAAACACTGTCAGGCCTTTATTTGTTGTCAATGAAGCAGCTCCAATATTATTATTGATTATATCTTTCCCAAAAGCTATTTATGCTTAAACATTTAAATTGAGCTTTTAGTGAACCACAAACAACATTTTCCTTATGGCACATTCTTCCGTTTATATTCCCATGCTTATTAAGCATGCTATATTTACTTAATTTCCCCTTGTCTCATTCAGTCTTTGATTTGAGAGTTAATTAGATGTGCATGTTGCCTTTGGTTAAAGCAACAGTACAGAACTGCAGCTCTATTATTCTGCAAAACCTGCAGAAACATTTGTGCTAAAGAAAGAAGAGAGAGGAGGCAGCTTCATTGAAGCCCCCTCAATCTCACTCTTTCTCTGCTGGAGTTGGGCAAACAGTCAGAATAGACTCAAATCAATTCTCGTACAACTATTTACTCATGCAATAATATGATTGTTTCGTTTGTTTTCTTATTAGATTGGCTGAATAAGCAAAACATGTGGGTTTCTTCTGTCTCCTGTGCAGCTACTGTTTATAGGGAATATCATATGAACACTCGTGACATCTTTCCAGCAAATGGGCTGTGAGGATGAGGTTATCCATATTTTCATATCAACAATGGAATGCCCCTGGCAGTGATGAACCCACAGAAACCATCTCCCAGCATACAGCCTTGGTTTTATGGCTTTGTTCAGCATTGTTTTCTGCTGCAGCAGGGAGCTCTGAATCACTGCTTTTCATTTACCCACCACCAAATGACAGACTCACACAATTAAAGAGAACAACGGAGCCGCTAAAAGGCAGACGTTTTTCTCAGGAGTTGGTGGAAACCGAAAACAGAGTTGAAATGTATTGGACTTACATTAATCACATAGACATAACAACAACCTCTAATAAATGCTTTGGTCAATATGGCAATTGCGATATGATTTGCGATATAAGAGGATTACATATTTACAAAACTTTATTCACACTGTTATTGAACATATATTAAAATGATCATGGTGTGATTTTTAAGGAGGATTTTTAACCAACTAGGATGTTTTATTATGTCTGTTGGACACCATTTGAAGACCAGGACTAATGTGCAGCACCACAATACTTCATACAGTTAATATTACATTATTTTCCTTTACCAAATATTGCACTACTTTCGATTTGGACATTGCATTAACTAGGATTAATTAAACTTATTGTGTCTGCATACAGAGTGAAAGGCTGAATCATAACTTTGGCTGTTTGTTTTAAAGTGGCCAGGCGAGTGTGTGAAGCCGCAGTGGCAGATGGCCAGAGTGATATTGGGAGGATGTGTTTGATACAGCTGCTCGCTAACGGGAGCTTTAGCTCGGCTCCTCATCCCCAAACGCCTCCGATTTACTGTAAACTCAGATTTGAATCGACATTAGTCTGTGTGGGCCACATCATGCGCTGCGTGCAGGTCGCCCAGACAGGCAGCAGCACTACACCTAAGGCACTGCCCGCTCACTGATGATGGATAATTCAGGACTCATCTGCTCCTATGTATGATTCATGCACTGCTCTCTCAGTTGGCCGGATGCTCTGCAGCAGTGAGTGATGGCGGTGATTTAGGGGTGAGATTGGGAGGACGGAGGCTCATTAATGGACCCGTCAGAAGCAGATACAGCACACTCCCTCACCATGATGGAGACACACTTTCCCTCATGAATCAAACTGCACTGGCCGCCGTCCTGGTATAAATGAATATACTTTGAATAAGCCAGTACTCTACATTCACTCTCACCTGTATATGAGAAAAACATCAGGACGTTTAGATCAGTGTTTTTGTTGATCGAAAAATCTGTTGAATTCAGACACATTTAAATCTCTCCAGTCAAAATGTCGGGTGAAATTAATTCCCCCATTGTTGTGAGGACAGTGCTCAGCGGTTATGGAGGCTTGCATTTCTTTGCATTTCTAATGAATGATTTTAGCTAAATGTATCCCTAGCGCAGTGGTTCTCAAAGTGGGGGGCGCAGAGGCATGACAGGGGGGGCGCGAGAGACCAGGAGGAAAAATGGTTATTTAAAAAAAAAAAAAAGATTATAAAAAAAAAAAAAAATCATATTTTGAAAGATTATTGATTCGAAAATAATATGATACAGTACTATTACGTCTGGGTCTCTGTGTTTCATTAAAGCTCGGCTCTGTGTGTGTGTGTGTGTGTGTGTGTGTGTGTGTGTGTGTGTGTGTGTGTGTGTGTGTGTGTGTGTGTGTGTGTGTGTGTGTGTGTGTGTGTGTGTGTGTGTGTGTGTGTGTGTGTGTGTGTGTGTGTGTGTGTGTGTGTGTGTGTGTGTGTGTGTGTGTGTGTGTGTGTGTGTGTGTGGAACGAGGCACACGTTTATATGATCATTATAGTTATAAAAAAATAAGAGAATACATGAAAAACAGCTATGAAATACTATATGACAGTAAAACAAGAATAAAGTTTAAAAGAGTGATTTGTAAAATATCCATAAAGAAATAGTAAATCTGTTTACAATTCTGTTTCATCTGGGTGTTGAGAGATGTATCCATAGAGCTCTTCATTTTGCTCTCAAAGTGCACCAGCTTGATGCTTTCAACTTCAATATTTAAAAATCTTCCCGGGGGAGCATGCCCCCGGACCCCCCTATGTGAGGTCCACACACCACCTATAAAAATAGCACTTTACCCCTGCTTACACCTATATGCCGAGACTTGATATCGAGCCTTCATTGTAACAGTCGCGGGTACATAGTGTATGTGCGTGGAGAGTGTTGCAGTAGAACATTCCACTGTAGCCCGGTACATTAATGGGAAACCCTAAATGTTTGAGCACGCTCTATGAAAGGTCAAGCTACCCCACAGCACCCCCAAAAGAAATCTCTGGCGCCGCCACTGAGCCTGACTATTTGTGTTGGGGGGGCCCGACTTTTTTTTTTCTCCAAAGGGGGGGCCTGACCGAAAAAGTTTGAGAACCACTGCCCTAGCGGGTCAAAGGGGCCAAGGTAGCCTGTGCTCAGCCCAGAATTAAAGGAGCGCTTGATTTCAAGCCTGCGACATCACAAACTTAATTAAAATATTAAGAGCCAGACAGGTATGGAACTAAATCTGTGCAAAAAGTTTAGATCATTTGAAAACAATTAATTAATCAGAAAGTTCTTGATCCTGAACTTTGAAAAATGCCGCGTTGACCGGCAATAACTTTTTGGAACGGTGATATAGACGTGACATAGTACAGCTACTACAGGAAACAGCGGGTGATAATTGTCCCCGAGGATATTAGGATAATTGTCAGCCGCGACAGGGAGTGTAGGACCTATTAGCATCCCCACGTATTGTGTTTACAGATTGCACCACGCTAATGGATCAGGACTTGTGTCATGGCTGAATGCCCCCCCCTCTCAAAAACTCCCCTCCCAAAGTCTGTGCAGTCATTTAGTCAGGCTAGAAATTTGAGACGGGAGGATTAAAGTGCTTTAAATTAAACGCATCAGAAGGCATTGTGTGTAGACGTTTTAATGTACGCATGCAAATCTGTTTTTGTATGAGTGAATACAATACAATACTTTCATCTATTCCTACTATGTTCAAGGCTTTGACAAAAGTTCCATCTGCTGATATGAATGTTTTGATGACTAATTTGGCTTCATCATCAGCCAAATAAGTGTGTTTTTGCAGACATGTCCTATTCAGGGAAGTTGTGTTGACACTGAGGAACGCTGAGACCATGAAGATGTGTCCACAGCAGCAGGAATGATCCACTGTCTAGTCTTGGTGGTGTGTGAATGAGATTAAGCATTCCTAAACTACACATGTTTCTGAATCTCTAAGCTGAGCCGACCCTGACCCCAACTCTTGACACCGAGAGGAGACAAACAACTTGTTCACTTTGATAGCTGGGAAAGGGTGGTATCAGTGTGAAGTGACACTTACTGTCGCACACATGTTGATAACGCACCACAACTCCCTGGTCTCGTTTCAAAAGTTGGAATTTGCCTTAATGGGACAACAAAACTGTCACATTAACACATGTTGACTGGATATAACTTCTTTTCTTTTCACAATATGGCTAATTTTCTTGTTCAAATCCCACAGATGGGCCAAAACAGTATCACAATGCAGTGAGTTGTGCAAACATGTAGCATTAAATACAAAAAGTGAAGACATTTTATAAAAAAAAAAAATTTCAGCAAAGTATTGTGAACAAATAATTATGCCGGAGATGGCCCATCCCTCCCCATCCCTCCCCATCCCTCCCCATCCCTCCCCGTTCCAGTGGATGATCAAACTAATTATATAGCACATTGTCCAGAGTAGAGAATATAGTTACTATATGTTATTGTATATTACAATAGAGTCACACTGTTTTCATGTCAAGGGCCAAGTAACCACATCAAGTTACTGTGGTCTTATTAAAGTAAGCCAAAAAGGGACCCCAGGTCTTTTAGAATTTCTCATCAGAGCCTCTGATTGAGAAGCGCAGCTTTTCTAAGTTAAGGCAGGACATTATGTCCCGAAGCCATTGATTGCATGTGGGCGGGGCAGCGTCCTTCCATTTAAGTAGAATTGCACGTCTGGCCAGAAGCAAGGAAAAGGCAATCATGCGTCGTTCCGAGGGTGTCAGTGGTTGTACCAAACATAGCTACCAGGGGGTCCGGGTCTAGTTTTTGATTTAGGATGTTGGACAAGGTAAGGAGAACGTCTCCCCAGAATTCCTGTAGGCGGGGGCATAGCCAGTCCATATGAAAGAGGGTAGCAACATTGTTTTTACATTTATCGCAAGTAGGGTTCACATCTGGGAAGAAGCTGGACAGTTTAGCCCTTGAAATATGCACCCTGTGTTCTATCTTAAACTGTATAAGGCAGTGTCTTGCACAGAGTGAAGATTTATGAATTGATGTAAGGATTGACTGGATATAACTTCTGATTGAGTGGAATGAAATACAGTCTATACTATAGTTATAATAAATGAATACCTGAATATGTAGACTGTAAACAGATGTATGAGTCCTACACATAAGTAGGCGAGGAAAAGCCCACAATCCAAAAACCCTTTGTGTAGGTATGGTGGGCAAGAGGGCCAAAAAGCCTGCGGGACAACACACATATTAGCACATTGACTCTTTAAAACTAAATCCTGAACTTCTATGCTTCTCACCCGCAGACCACCACTCTGATCGGCCTGCTAAAGACGGCCCGCCTCCTGCGGCTGGTGCGAGTGGCGCGTAAGCTGGACCGGTACTCAGAGTACGGAGCTGCCGTGCTCATGCTGCTCATGTGCATCTTTGCCCTCATCGCCCATTGGCTGGCCTGCATCTGGTACGCCATTGGAAACGTGGAGAAGCCTTACCTGGAGCACAAGATTGGCTGGCTGGACAACCTGGGGGTGTCCATAGGTGAACTTCCTTGTTTTGTTTGAATTTGAAACTAAGTGGGTTAGAAGTACAGAGGCTCATTTCCACCAGTAAAGGAAATAAATAATATGATGAAAACGTGGCTTTGTGATGAAAAAGAAAGATCCTGTTACTCATTATAATGAGAAAGAAGAAAGGTTATTATTTTCAGATATTAATTTATAATTTTTTGGAAAGTTTGTCTCTTATCATTCAAATGTAATGTCACTTTTGCTGTCAAAAACAAATGTGTATGTACTGTTTAATTTTCCTTATTGTAGGGAAGAAATACAACTACAGTGACCCCAGCTCAGGCCCCTCCATCAAAGATAAGTACGTCACCGCTCTCTACTTCACCTTCAGCAGTCTGACAAGCGTGGGCTTTGGGAACGTCTCCCCCAACACCAACTCTGAGAAGATCTTCTCCATCTGCGTCATGCTCATCGGATGTGAGTGACAGCTGAGTCCCAGTACATTTTAATCCTGTTTGAACAGAACCCCCCTGGAATTAGGGTTTTATTGAGGAAGCCTCAAACTGTCATTTTTGTAGCTAAATACGCAAAAATTAAACATGATCATTTTGAAAATAGGGCTTAGGGCTAGGCTTAAGGTGTGTTTTAAATGTACTACCATCCCCCCCGGTAATATGTATTGCATTCCCAGTGCGTGAAAACTTTTACATAACACCAGGTAGGTCTTTCCTTGAGATAATGTTACACACAGGAAGTCATGTGGCAGCAGGAACATGGTTTGTGCGGTATTAAGAGAGGAAGTAGGGGCAACTGTATGTGCATCTTTAGCCACCAGCTCAACCGTCACCTGTATGGCTTCTCTCCCAGCTCTAATGTACGCCAGCATCTTTGGGAACGTGTCCGCCATCATCCAGAGGTTGTACTCAGGTACGGCCAGGTATCACCTGCAGATGCTACGCGTCAAAGAATTCATCCGCTTCCACCAGATCCCAAACCCCCTGAGGCAGAGGCTGGAGGAGTACTTCCAACACGCCTGGACATACACCAACGGCATCGACATGAACATGGTATGAGAGGACTGTGTTTGCCTTTTACTTAGCATTTTCACTATGGTAACACATTATAATGTGTTGTTCCTTTCTTCTGCTGCTTCTTCTCTCTTTCCAATATCACGAGTGTCCAATATCTTGTCGGAAAATGCTTTTAGCCCATCGTGAAGCAATCCCGCTATGTCACTGACATAGTGAGATGATTCATCATGATTATACTGTTCAGCCTTAGCCCCAGTTACTGCTACAGTGACTATGCTCATCATGATACTGTTCAAGGTACTTATATAAGTTTGTCTTTTCCATGTCTGCCTCATGTCTAATGGAATGACCCCACCACTCTGGTAAGAGCAGGAGGTACATGTGTTAACACAACTAATGTTGAAATGAGTGTTCCTCTAGCTCATCTGGCTGTGTTTGATACTAGTATTCAAATGTTACATTTTTAGAAAAAAAACATAGCATTACAGTGTTAATATTAGTATTTATTGTCCCAACACGCATGTAATTGTTCCCTCAGTGTGTTATCTGTACATTAACACATACTGTAAACAGTAGCTGTGAGCCTGCATCATAGATTGACAGTATCAACGTTTGCATGCTGCAGACAACACACTAAAGTTCCACACAGGCCACATTATTGTCGGTAGACATGCACGTGGCTTGCCTCGAGGTCCCCTTTGCATGTATTCAAACACAACCCCATGATATTCATCTGGTACCAGAGACAGAGTGAATCACGCCTGTGAGAGTGGGCACAGCCTCGCCGGGCGCTGCCAGCCTTCCCTCCCACTGTGGGAGGCTTGGCGGCATGCTCCGCGGTGGCACCTGCGCTTGCCAAATGTTGTTCAGTCTTTCCTTTCCAAATCTACCGTAATTTTGTTTTTGAAATACAGTAAAAGCCTGTCCGAGCCAGAGAAACAGTTGAGGCGACATTTGTTTTTCTGTTCTCTTGTCACGAGCGCATTGTATTTCATGTGTAAATGAAAAAGATATTGTGTTTTGTGTTTTGGATATCCCTTATGTGTCCTCGAAGCCCCTCTCCTCACCTATCAGTGTCTGTTATGGTGTTAAAGTTTGTAAAGAAAGTGTCCTTTTCAGTCAGTTCTCGTTGTCCGGGGATCATTAGCTGTTTTGTCAGGGGTCACTGTATCCTTGTCTTAAAGGGTTAAGTGTATTATAAGTCTATTTTGATATCCTCACAAAAAACAAAATGTATAGAAATAGATTCATTTTATATAGAAGATGATTAGAGCCACATGTGAATTGTTTTTTAAATCTTAACATTTAAAGAAATGTTGAGTTTCAAGATTAAGGTCAGAATTAATCAAATTAAATAACACCTGGCAATAATCCTTCAAAAATATCTTGAGGTACTCCTTGGCTAACTTGGAACATTTATTATTTCTGTTTGTTAACCAATACCGGATCATGGGTCAGAGTATTGAGGTTTTTTTCAATATTCATTATTTGAGACAAGATTGAATAGTGTTGCCTTTTGGTTTTACACATACCATACTGTGTTGAAAGACTGTTTCCCCTGCAGTGTATGTTAGGTTTTGAGAAGAAGGAAAGAACACAAGTGGCAATTGTATCAAATTTCTCTGGAAAGATTTGACCTGCAACTTCACCCCAAAACCACAATTCAACACACATTATAAATCCCTGCGCACCAAAGCTTTTAAAGACGTTTTCTTAAGAATAATATCTTCTTCCACATGACATAACCGTGTCCGCTTCGACCGTGTTTCACCCACAGGTCCTGAAGGGTTTCCCAGAGTGCCTGCAGGCCGATATCTGCCTCCACCTCAACAAGAACCTCCTGGAGGGCTGTAAGGCGTTCCACGGAGCCACAAAGGGCTGCCTCCGGGCCCTGGCCATGAGGTTCAAGACCACCCATGCCCCCCCTGGAGACACCCTTGTCCACAGTGGAGATGTGCTTACTGCGCTTTACTTTGTGTCCCGCGGCTCCATCGAAATCCTCAAAGATGACGTTGTGGTGGCCATCCTAGGTGGGTCTTCTGTACACTTTCACTATGACTCAGTAGTTAGTATGTTTTCTTCTGTCTAATTAATACGTGTGTCCATGCCTTTTGGCCCTGGCATTATATCTAGCATACATCTGTGAATTCAGCTACTGTAAGCTAGGTATTCTTGGTACACACAGATATTTCAAAAAGCATCCAGCAGTTTGTCAGTCTGCAGGATGGAAGGAATACCAATGCTGAGTAATGAATAAACTAAGTGACATTCATTCAGCAATCCTATACACAGACACACTTCTAATTAGCCCAGCCAGTACGTTACTCAAAAGCCCTTCCACTAACAACACAGAAGTCCTTTCATGAGCCTGGCTAGCTTTGCCTGGACTCACCTCCATTAGAGCCGACCAAGATGTGCCAACAAAATGAAGATGGCTCCGTTGTGCTATGATAGTTGGAAGCTGCGATCCCTAGTGGGTATGTTGTAATAAGTCACTTCAAAGAACACTGCGATTGCTTGCCGCCTCACAGTCGTGCCTCAGATGAAGGGAGAGGACAGGGAAGAGTGGGGGAGGACACATGGTGGCGCGAGGGGAACAGAGGATCTGTGTGGAGGAAAAAAGAGATAGCATGATTGCTTTCAAATAGAGATGGATGGTGATAGAAGCAGGGAGGGATGGAGAGCTGTCGGCGGAGAGAAGAAAAGAGAGTTAAAGTGGAGTGGCAGAGGGAGAGAGGAAGTACGTGAGGGTGTCACATGGTTGTCACTGTGGTGGGATGCAGTGGTTGAGAACAGGTGCCAATGAATATCAAAATGTGTGAAAATCAAAACGCGTCCACCTTTCCGCAGCCTGCAGGAAATTATTTCCAAGCCTTTCATTCATTAGTTTCCTTTTAATGACAGCCAATAAGGTTTGGCAAAAAGCCGTGACATAAGGGTCATGATGATCGAGTAGCTGTGGAAGTTGTAGGTCACACCTCACTCTGCACATTTTCTGTAGTACAACAATGGAAATGCTCATTATTCAATTGTCACACTAGCGTGCCAATACTCCAGTTGTAGTAAGTATTACATGTGACAAAGCTTTGAGCATGATAATCGTGACCCTATGCCAACTATCTAAATACATAGCAGTGTGTGAAGATTTCCTAATTTATAAGACCTGATCAAATATGTATTTATATGCAGAGCCGTTCTTTATGAAACGCCAAAGTGGTCAGTATTAAAGAGTAGAAAATACTTTGTTGGATAGATGATCCCCGACCTGACAGATACTGCACTCCAGCACGCACTGTACACCCCGTGGCCATTCCATGTAGGTCATTACACACTAAACAGAGGCAGGAATGTTTGGCCTGTGTGACTTCCATGCGGAGACATTGTGTAAATCCTTTTTTAGATGACTGTGAAGCCCTTTAGCCTCTTTAACATACTCACGCTCCTCTGCCAGGTGTCGCGTCTCCTTATAGGTCATCAAATACTGTCCTACATACTGTCCAACTACATCATCTCCTAGCAACTATAGGTGTTGTTACTTAAGAAGCGAAGAATAGACGGAGAAGAGAGAAGAGCTTAGGGCAGGATTGAGTCCAGCTTATTTTCTGCAAGTTTCCAAAATCCATTTGACAAAAAACATTGCTTTTTGGGTCGGCCTACAAAATTACATCACTGCAACCTCTATATGATTATCACTTTTTTTTTGCTAACCCCCCCCCCCCCCCCCCAGGTAAGAACGACATTTTTGGCGAGATGATCCATCTGTTCTCCAAGTCGGGGAAATCCTGTGCAGACGTGCGGGCGCTGAGCTACTGCGACCTCCACACCATCCAGAGGGAGGAGATCCTGGAGGTGCTCGACATGTATCCAGAGTTCGCAGACCAATTCCTCAAAAACCTGGAGCTGACCTTTGACCTCCGTGATGAAAAGGTTATAGCATGGGGGTCAATTCTTGTCTCTGATTATAACCCTCAAGGAGGCAGTGAAGTGGATTGGAGGCTTTTATGTCAAATCAATCTTTGCAATTGACTGTAATTAAACAATCATTTCCATGTACCATATCTCTGCCATGTCCATTTCAATTGGATGAAAGGCTTTCTTAATCATTCTCTTTATGGTCGTGGGAAGGAAAGCACAATTATGATGAAATGGGTGAAGTGGAAGGATGTGTTAGGCCTGAGGCATGAACATGAACACACATTTGTCAGATGTTTTAATTATCTTTAAAAACGGAGCGAGGAGTTCACTTTGCGTTATTTATTGAGTGTAAAGTAGACAGGCAGGCATAGGAGAAGCTTCTGGTAGGATTAATTAAAAACAGGATGGTGCTCCAACAAACGTGGAAGCAGTTTGTGTTCCTTACTAGCAAATGTTAAATGAAGAAGGTGTGGCACATTCAAGTCTGTTAGGTTGTTATTGTAGGAGTAGGAGTAGAGGTGACTTTGGCTAGTTATTTATTTCCCTATGCAGACACAGAACATATATTTACGTCCCTACACATGTGCATAAGTATGTGTCGTTATATTTAACGTGCTCCTGATCAGACATTGTCCCTTTACAGGCGACAGGCCTCCAAGCAGCTAACTCTAATATGGAGGACAACGAGTGTCGGAGACGAGTGTCCTACAAGAGGAAAAGCTCCACAGGTGAGCCTGAGAATCAACATCACTCCTCCTGGGTAACACTTTGTAATAACTCTCATTAATACATGGTCAAATAATAACTAATTGACTAAAGTAAATAGCAGTTTTACTTTTTAAATCAATTAAATAATACTTAAAGGTAAACAACAATGCTAAATCGTATTATTTGTTAACTGTGTATGGTTGCACACAATATTATAAAATACATTTGATCATACATATTTTTTTGTAATACTTGCTCTTCGGCATAAACACAGGTTAAATGATATAAAGTCAAATGTATTCATCCATGTTGTGTTTTACAATAAACAAACAGTAAAAACAGTTTACCTCTGTTAAGACTCCAATGCTGTGATTGTATCTGGGATGTCTTCCAACACATTTTAGAAATCAAACATGAAATCAGGTTTGATTGTAAGTTGGATTGGATGCGTTAGAACAATCATCTACATGACACTCAAGATGTTGATTTATGGTCCTGCTACAGGAGCCTGGTGTGGTTTGCACCTGAGTTAATGAAAGTAAACCCTGTGGACAGCTGTGCATAATGGCCCTGTGCTCTGTGGAGGCATTTCTCCAATCAGAGGCTGCAGATTCATCAACACATGAGTCAGAGGCTGCAGGGATGTAATAACCTGAAGGAGTGTGAAGCAGCTGTGGACACTAACTGTAAGAATCACTCATTTTAACGTATAGATTCTAAAGAGGGAATTATGGCATTACAGCAGCAACAGTACAGTGCAGATTAAAGTGAAAAAAGTACACCAAAGTAGCATTATTTCTTTCTTTTAAGTGAACATACATCAATGTATTACCTTCAGTTAATGGTACACCATCAGTTTGGAGGTGGACAGGAAGTCAAATGATGTGTTTTGACAAAGGAGACTGGTGGCTTTGGAGAGTTCAGAGTTTTAGTTCCCTGTCATAAAGGGCTGTCTGACTGCAAGGTAAAGTGGTCAAATATTCTTTATATAGCATACTTTAAACCGAATATTTGTTTTCCTTTCCTTAGGATGTTTAAAATATGTTTTATGCTGCCCCCATTCACAGCAGTACACAGTGTTGCTTCCTGCTGGTACTCAATTCATACAATCCAACCCCAAAACATGCAACTATCTAATAACATTTGATAAACTTGAATATATTTATACATGGAATGTATTTATTATATTTTCTAATGTGAAGTTTTGATTCTGAATTCATGAATATTGACAAATATATGTGTTGTTGAAAGTTTGAACAATTAAATTCAGAGGCTAAAATACATAATTATTTGGTGCTGGAAATGAGATGGCTTTACTTCCATACATGTTGTTTATAAGGCTCCTTATTTCAAAATGACCCCTGCTTTTTGAGCCCCTGTGTATTCTTCAGACAAGTTCTACTATAGATAACACAACAGCGTCCCTGCAGTTTTAAAGAACACAGTATCTGTAAAGCAGTGTGTGTACAGTGTGTTCGAGGTTAATTCGACTTGTAACTGCCTGGAGATTTTGGACGTGGAGACAGAGCCTCCACTCAGCAGTTCGGCTTCGATTCAGGAAAATCCAATTGGTCACCATGGTTACAGTCCGTCTGAATACAGTAGCACCATCTCCCAGATGGAGAATGTACCTAACAGTCCATTTCACAGTCCAGCAGCCTGCAGATCCATCCATCAGCTGTGAAGATGTCAGATCATTATGCATTTACTGAGCATCATACTTGTAAAAACACATTTAGAGCGACAGGATTCATTCTAAGTAGTTTAATAGATCTGCGTTTAACATTGTTTGTCCGCAGTTCAACCCTGAAGCAGAACTATAGCTACCTGTTGTCGGAAGGTAATGAGACTAAAGTGCCCTCCCAGAGGAAGTCCCAGCAGAGTCACTGTTCCCCCAGCAGATTTCCTGATTATCAATTCTCCCCGTAGGCTCCCACAACAAGGAGCCAGCAGCCACCTACTGCGACACCAAGCAAGGGAGGAAGATCTACGCCCCCCCAGCAGCCGGGGAGAGGAGAGAGTCCGCCGGGGAGGACGAGGAAGGCAGGGAGGAAGAGGAGGAGCAGAGGCCCTTGTGTTCTGGTGTACTGGGCTACCCGGTGGTTAGGGACCACAGCGCGGCCCTCGGAGGGCTGAGTGCAGAAGCACAGGCTGCAGACAACACGCAGACCCAGGCGTATAAAGGTGATGATAAAAACATCCGCCGTATTTTCTTACTTTTATTTTTTATCCACAGGTTTATTTTTGGGAGAAGGAAGCAGCTTCAAAAGTATTTGTATTTCCCTGTCATTCTAATACAATGTTTATCCTATTTTCACCCAAACACAAAAAAGAAAGGATTTCCAGCTATTAATACGAAGGAGACCATTTTGAGTCCATCTATAGTATTTTATTATACAGGGGTAGGGCAGGAACAAATAAGGGCTCCAGGTGAACAGAGGGTGTTTCTCAATATCGAGGAAGGCTCCTCCAGAGCCACTATTTCAAGGATACTACGTCATCGAATCCCGCCGAAGGACTGTTCCATTGTCCAGGATCCTTGGAATTCTACCGAGGACTGAATCCTTCGTTGCGGGAAATTTCGAGGATGCACCAGTGTATCCTGCGCGGTCTTAACATGTGTGTTGGTGTGTTGGTTGTTCTGTGCACTTAGGTAGCCCTCCAAAGTCAGGCTGTTAAACTGTGTAAGTGCAGTCCAGTGGTGATTCCAGGGGGAAAGGTTGCATGTTAAGCGAATCACTGTCTTGTTTAAACAGATGATGATTTTCTTGCTTGCTTGTCCTCTAAAGTTGTAATGCAGAATGGTAATTGGTTCAGAATTTAATTTAGAAAAAAATCCCCTTAGCCCCAGCAGAGGAATGTCACACCTATTAAAAATCCACACAGGGATTATGAGTCATTATGGTGAAACCTAAAACCCACTCAGTAGTAAAACATAAGAGGATTATATCCAGGGTCACCCCTTTTCATCGTAGGTCATGACCAAATAAAGGATTTACAGGAGGTTAAATCATGATGTTGGCATGATGTCAGATTGTAATCTTTTTAAGGAAATCTGAGAGATAAGTGGTTATTATTTATTCAGATGAAAATGAAACACAGCAGTAGGGATGAAAGCCTCCTGTGGATTTCAGCGTTTACTGCAGGCTTCACTGAGCGGCCCTCACAAAGAGCTGCATCTGGGAGGGAGATCCCCGACAAGCTCTGCGAGAAATCCTCACTCTCACCCACTGTCTGCTGCTTCTTGTCGAGCTAACACACGTCTGCGTTTCCACAGTCTGACGTATGGCAAACAAGTCCATTTATCACTGTATATTTAAGAATATACTCAATTATTTCGGACATACTATACTCTGACATTTTTTGCACCTGTTCTTTCTTTCACAAGCTGTACAAAACGACAGCTTAACACCTCGTTGATTTCTTGAAGTCCAACATCCAACCTTGAAGAATTATTTTAAAATGAGACTGAAAAAATATCTGAAGTCACATAGCTCAAAGTGATATGATAAAGGTCTGAAGACAAGAGGACCCGAGTTCAATCCTTATTATTTGCATGAGTGCAGTGTCTTTTTTTGAAATTCTATTTGTTTAACTTTTTTACATTTTATTTTTTCCCAACTCCTCCCAAACGATAGAAGGCTTCACAGCTCAAATAGCTCTGAGTGATAGACAACTGTTCACCAACTCCAACGTCTTAGGTTCGATCCTCGTGAGGTGCAGTGATTTTTGAAAGCTAACACCCAAAGTGAAGAATTAGATTAGAAAATGAAACGAAGAAGAGCCAGAAGAAATGGCTCAGAGAGATACAACATTGCCCCGAAAGCTAAAGGTTGTTAGTTCGATCCTTGAGAGGTGCATTGTTTCTTAAAGTCCATCATCCCAAATAAAAAGGCAAAAGCACTTCAAAACCTTCTCATACTGTGTCAGGTCAAATGGCTCAGAGCGCTAGAAGACTGACGGTGAGACAGAAGGTTGCCGGTTCAAGGCTCTTCAGGTCCAGTCATCTTTAAGGTCCACGAACCCAAATGAACAAGACATAAGCTCTACGAAACAATAATGTCTCAGGTCAAATAAGAGGTGCTTGGGCTGTGTATTTTAAGGTCCAAACCTGAGGTGAAAATCTCAGATAGGCCAGGGAACATCTAACTGTGTCAGGTCGTATGGCTCACTGTGATAAGAACCTGTCTTGGAGACAAGAGAACATGAGTTCAAACCTCGGGTGGTCCACTGAGTTTAAAGATCCCAGGAGTTTGAGTCTTGTGCCATGTAGAGTTTTAATGTGTCTTTCCCTTGATGAAGAACTCAAATACAAGTAACAGCAGAAAACTGTCATCAGGTCTCATAGCTCAAGGAGATAGAAGGGTGGTTGGTAGACCAGAGGTTACAGGTTCGAGCCTAATACGATGCAGAGAGTAGATGGATAAGGATAAGGGGTTAATGGGATGCTAATTAAGGGAATAGAAGAAAGGGGGGTTAGGAAGTAAGAGAGTAGTGAATAGGATACTATCTTGGGAACTGTAAATGAAGAAAGGAGACAAATGTATTTTGAGAAACTTTTTTTTAATTCACATTTATTCATTTTATTCATACATAGCAGTGCAGCCTTTTCCCCAAGTCTGCTAAACGTCCCCAAGTCTGCTAAACGTCCCCAAGTCTGCTAAACGTCCCCAAGTCTGCTAAGTCTAATAAGCGGCCGATAGGTGGCTGCCGGCTCTCACTGCACTCCTGTGCAGGGGCCTGCAGTCACTGCCGATAGTCTGCTAAGTCAGTAGGCCTGCTAAGTCTGCTAAGTCGGGGGGGGCTGACGTGGCTGGGGGGGGCCCGCTCGGCACCCCAGCCACCGCCCCAAGTCGGCTAAGTCTGCTAAGTGGCTGTGTGCTCTCACTGCAGCCACATCGATAGTCTGTTAAGTCTGCTATACGTCCCTCAGGCTGCTAAGTCTGCTATACTTCCCCAAGGCTGAAAACGTCCACAACTTTTTCAGAAACATAGGCAGCCGGGGTCTTAATTGATGGCGTGGCGGGAGGGGGGATTGTCTCTTCACTCTCTGTGGGAAGAAAAGAAGAAAAAGACACCATGAAGTCAGTATAGCTAACCCTAACCCATGAAAACATCGTATTTGATGTGGAAATAAGGCACGGTGTAGTGCGTAGACACAAGGCGTAGTATAGTATGTCGATAACGATGACAGAAAAGTAATAATATAGCATTTCTAAAAAATTCTAAAAAGTAGAAACGACATAGTATAGTATGTCGATTTTTTGGGAGAAATGCAACAAAATAATTAAAAAATATATGTGATGCCATAATAAGGCACGGTATAGTGTGTGGATACCAGGCGTGGTATTTTATTTTGTTAAAAATGACCGAAAAGTCATAATATAGCATGTTGGAAAAAATGACAAAGAAGTCATAACCCTAACCCTAACCCTAACCAATGTCGGAGAAAACATCGTATTTGATGTGGAAATAAGGCACGGTGTAGTGCGTAGACACAAGGCGTCGTATAGTATGTCGATGACGATGACTGAAAAGTCAAAAAAGTCATAACCCTAACCCTAACCAATGTTGGAGAAATGCTAAAAGAAAACATCGTACAGTATGTCGAAAATATCCTAAAAAGTCAAAGTATAGTACCGTAAGTTCTTCAGAAACTCAGGAAGCCACGTCTTCGTTGATGTCAGATGAGTGTCCTCGCAGTCCTGTGGGGAGAAAAGAAGAAAAGACACCATGAAGTCAGTATGTTGAAAATATCAGAAAAAACGACATAGTATAGAATGTCGAAGAAATGCATAAAAATAACATTGTATTTTGTGTCGAAATAAGGCGTAGCATAGTATGTTTCGAAAAAAATGAACAAAAACAACATAGTATAGTATGTCGAAAATATCCTAAAAAGTCAAAGTATAGTACCGTAAGTTCTTCAGAAACTCAGGAAGCCACCGTCTTCATTGATGTCAGATGAATGTCCTCGCAGTCCTGTGGGGAGAAAAGAAGAAAAGACACCATGAAGTCAGTATGTTGAAAATGTAAATACAAATAGCATAGTATACTATGACTATGTTGGAAAATAGTCATAGTGTAGTATTTTGGAAATATCAGAAATGGTCATAGTATAGTACCGTAAGTTCTTCAGGATCTCCAGAAGCCACCGTCTTCGTTGATGTCAGATGTACTTGCACTCGGTGTTCCGGGAAAAGAAGAAAAAGACACCATGAAGTCAGTTTAGTAGAATGAAAATATCTATAATGTATAAAATGCAAAAAAACAAAAAAGTATAGTGTGTCGAAAATATGCAAAAAAAACGACATAATATGTCGAAAATGTAAATACAAATAGCATAGTATACTATGACTATGTTGGAAATATCATAAAAAGTCAAAGTATAGTACCGTAAGTTCTTCAGAAACTCAAGAAGCCACCGTCTTCATTGATGTGAGATGAATGTCCTCGCAGTCCTGTGGGGAGAAAAGAAGAAAAGACACCATGAAGTCAGTAGATTGAAAATGTCAGAAAAAACGAAATAGTATAACTTCGAAAATATGAAAAGAAAACATAGCATAGTACGTCAGAAATATCATACAAACTAATAATATAATATGATGAAAAATGTTAATAATAAACAACATAGTATAGTATCAGAAGAACATTTTAAAAGGAGACAATTTTGAAAATATCAGAAAAAAGGCGACAAGTTGAAACAAGTTGTATAGTAAGTCAAAATGAACATACAAAAAGTAGATTAATAGTATTATGAATAAAATGTCGAAATATCTCAAAAATAACATCATATTATTTAATGCAAAGATATATTGTATCGTACGTATCGTGGTAAAAAGCCATACAAATGTCATAGTCAAGTATGTCATAAATAAATAAATTCATAGTTACTCATAGAAATCCCACATATTGTTCACTACAATGTGATTTAGTGATAGTTATATGTATAAAATAACGGAGACAAACCTGAACTCCTCCATAGTTCCCTCTGTAAACACCAGTCCATCTGCAGACCTCCGAACGCTGAAACACAAGATAAAGAAAGTCCTCAGGATTTAAAGTTGCAATCATTTCCATTTGAAAAACAAACATTATGACATGGTTATAAGAAAGGTTTCGTAAAAACGTTATTAAAGGACTGATAAAGGAAACATTTTGTACACTATTAATACATATATATAGATACATATTAATAATATATATGGAGGTGATTGATACAAAATGCCATTGTCTGAAAAAAAGAAAGTGTAATCGTCATTAAAAAGTCATAAACAAATATTCAATATATCAGAATACATGCCAAAGTATGTCATTTAAAAAAGTACAGGTTACTAGTTACATTTTAGGTTTAGATTATTAGCTAATATAAAATATTAGGGCTGTCAAGTTAACGCGTTAATAATCACTTGCGGCAGGAGCTGATGCTGACAGTCCCGCTCATGCCGCTCGCTTGCGGCAGACCACGCTTGAAAGTTTGCCGGGGAGACGCCTGGACACGGCGTCTACGAGCAGCAAGCTTTCAACAGCGATAGCTAAATGGGTGGCGGTGGCTACAGCTTGCAGGACCATTAACATCGTGGAGGACGAGGGGCTGCGTGAGATCATTCGGATCGCATCCAACGTGTCGACTGCACATCACAGCGCATTGTTTTGACCCCTGTGGGAACTTCAGTCTCATGCTTTGACTGTTATGAAGACAGAGGAGCGGCATTTCGCCGACAACTGTAAACAGGCTTGTCTGTAAGTACACAGGGTTGGGAGAGAGTGTAAGAGAGAGAGAGGTTCCAGGTTGTTGTGCTGAGAATATTCAGGAGAATATTTGTCATTGTTCCAATGATAATAAACAAACATTTGCATAAAGCATATTTGTCCACTCATATGTTGATAAGAGTATTACAAACTTGAAAAATATTCCTCTAAGGTGCATTTAGAACAGATAAAAAATGTGCGATTAATTTGCGATAAATCACGATTAACTATTTTAATCGACTGACAGCCATACAAATAGAAATCATTAATTTTGTAAACTTTACATATGTATAGGTGAAGATATCCAGCAACAGTATATCAAGTTATTCCAATGAGCTCCCTCTTGACCAATTGTGATTAAAACTAGGGATGCTCCGATCGCCAATTTTGGGGCTAATTGCCGATCGCCGGAATCAGTATCGGCCGATACCGATCGCCAATCCGATCGAGTGGGCGGGGCCTATGGGGATCTTCCATTTTAAGTGATGTTTAAAACTCAGTTAATGTGGCTCATTCACTGGCGCTTCCATAAACAGCAACCAACATAATTGTTACATTCAAATGAAGTACATTATTCAAGTTTACATTAACTTTGGAGAATAACACGGGAGAAATTAGCGGAAGCGCTCTCTTTTCCTCTCTCTCCTGAGTCCTGACAGCCTGTCAGTATCGTCTCATGCAGCTCACTGATCCAGTAATGAGTGACCCGACAGTGAAGAATAAATATATGTATAACTAGTTTAGCTAGTTCCAGAGGTAGATCAAATAGCTAAGTGTGTTAGGTCTAACTCTAATTAGTGTGTGTTTTGCTCCGCTCACCGGTCCGTCACGGCGGGTGGAGCTGCAGGATTTCTGCTTCACACACGTTGCAAACCGCTATTTTATTGTCTTTTTCGGACACCTTAAAATACTGCCAGACTGGTAAAGCCATTTTGGCAAGCTTGTTTTGCCGCGCACAGAGAAAAGTGTCATGTATTTTACGTCATGTGATCGGCTCTCCCGATCGGCATTTATAGAGAGCACCGATTGATCGGCAGAGAGTGAATATCGGCCGATATTGATCGGCGGCCGATCGGTCGGAGCATACCTAATTAAAACACATCAATAATCATAATACTAACCCAGTAATATACGATTCTGAAATGGGCCATTATGCATATAATGAGTACTTTCATTTTTGGTACTTTAAGTATATTTGTATGCAGGACTTTTACAAGTAACAAAGTAATTTTAAAATGTAGTATTGCTACTTATAGCATGTACAGTTAGTGACCACCAGGTGGAGCTATACACACATCATAGCTACAAGATAGGCGCATTATGAATTAAAACTGCACCCTAACACCACTGCCGACAGAGTATATATCTGCTGCTAAACATACAACACAAATGGATTAAATACCTCGACAAACCATGTTTAAGCTAGAGAAAATGTATTAAGAGAATCATGTAAGTGATGTGTGTACATTATCAGAGCCTGTTAACCGGAAGTGCTCACCCACTGACAACTACAGGAGCGAAAATATCAGTCAATTAAAAAACAAGTATGAAATGTCATGGTACTTCTCACAGTATTTTATTATTTAAAAGTGACCATGACTTGGGTGAATTTGACAATGAGCGGTTTATTTATTCGGCCGGATTGTAGCAGCTGTACCGGCGTTAGCATAGCTGTAAGCTAACACAGCGGTACCGTGTTTGTTTGTTTGTTTGCTTATTTGTTCGCTTATGTGTTTGTTTGCTTATTTGTTAAGTTTGTGTGGACGTTTGGCCATTGACTGACCTTTTAAATCACAGGAAACTCTAGTTATCGCTGTTTATTCCCTCCAGTCTCTCATCTGATGTGCATCTCGTGAGCTGGCGAAGTTGTTGTGAGCTGTTGCGCATGCGTCATCCGATACGTCAGCTGACCCTAGTTTAAGTAGGGTCTCTGACAAGCGGGGGGCTGTGTATACCTATGGTGTATATCAAAGTTGGGCTATCCATTGCAAATAGAAATCAATAAACACCCTTAAAAAATGCGTCTCTAATGCAAGAGCTAGTTTACTTCACTTTACATTCGTGCACATATTGTGTATTTAAATCCTTATACACCAGTTCATTTTTTGACGATTTAATCACCGTGTTTATGAATACACCTGATTCTGATTCATTGGACTAGTCACACACACACATTCACACACACACATTCTCACACACACACACACACACACACACACACATTAAAAACTGGCAGGACACTGGATTATAGAATGTATTGTCTATTATATTATTGCATTTAAACAACTTTAAAAAAAATACATCAACACATCTGGATTCCTTGGCCAAAAGAGGTCATAGAGACCATAGTCATAGGTATGTGGAAAATATATATGTATATATTTTTGCAATAAAATCCTCACTTGTGCAAACACACAGAGCAACTTCCAGTGTGATTACACTGAGATGGGGAAAGTGGTTTCATATTTATATTTCATCAATCAGCTATTGCTGTAAGAGGATTTCTGTCAGAGCAAAGCTCAGAGGGATATTGATTTGTATAAACAGCACGGAGGGAACAACACACAGGAAATGCCAACTGTGTCTGAAAAGGAGGCCAAAACCCCACTGAGGCTGTGACTGTCAGCCAGGGTCAGATGTGTGTTCTCCTCTGTAGGATGTGAGGATCCAGGAGGTGCTTAGTGAAGCTAATGATGTTAGGGCAACACACAGGAAGATGCTGCCCTGAGGTAATGCTCTAATAACACATTCCCCCCCCGTGTGTGTGTGTGTGTGTGTGTGTGTGTGTGTGTGTGTGTGTGTGTGTGTGTGTGTGTGTGTGTGTGTGTGTGTGTGTGTGTGTGTGTGTGTGTGTGTGTGTGTGTGTGTGTGTAAACATGTCTCTCCCCCAGAGCTCCACACAGAGGAGTGGGTGCGTCCCGTCGAGGAGTCCGCCCCGTGTCGGGAGGTGGCAGCGGGGGAGGAGGACAGCGACACAGACCTCACCTACGGAGAGGTGGAGCAACGGCTGGACCTGCTGCAGCAGCACCTCAACAGGTGAGGGGGGGGGGGGGGGGGGGGGCAGCATGTTGCTGGTGGAAAACACAATACCTCCACTTCACAAGAAAACACCCAAGGATAAGGATTTTTATATAACGGCTTTTTCTTTAATCATATCATATCAGGATACATCACTATCAACAAACACTTTAATTATGACATCTCTATCGCACCAACAAATACACAGACACATTAAAGTACTGATTTATTAAATACAAATACCAGCACATGTATGAGTACAACTTTACTTTTAAGCTCAGCATGTTTCAATGCTTGATGGCCATAAAGAGGAGGTTCCTGACCTCTCGAGAACAGAAGGAATCTTTGGGTTCCCATCATGCTTTTTCTTTCTTTTTTTTTGCAAAGTCAGCTCAGCTCAGAGCTCTGAAGACGAACCCTCCTCCCTGTAAGTGAAGAAGCTCTCATGGAGACATTTGAGGCCAGACAGCGGCTGCAGGCGTTAATGCAGAGTGTGTGAGCAGCTCTGTGACTCCCGGCTGCTGCTGCTGCTCTGTGCAGATGGAGGGGGGGGGGGGGGGGGCAGACTGTCTATCTAGATGCAGACACATTGCACAGACTGTGGACGTCCTCATGTGAGGAGGAGTTGCACAGTTTGGGGAGATGATGTTCACTGATGGAGGGAACATGGCTCAGAGAGTTCCCCCATCAGTCACACTCAGTGCACTGCATCACAGCTGCAGACACTTACTTATTCTCCTCTAAAGAGCAAACAGCCACCTGGCAGGCTTCCCCCACTCTCCCTCTCCATCCTGTGTGTGCTGCTGTCAAAAGGAATGTGTGGAGGAAAGGTGATTCACCCCCTCAGAGACGCCATGATGTAACTCTGCATCGGGTGATGAAACGGTGCAGGTGCTCCATTTCCTGGTACCTGCAAAACAGAACACAAACTTCCCTTTACTGTTTACTTTCCTGTTTTGTAGCTGCAGTAACTAATATTTCAGTTATTTTTCCTTTGATAAAATACTTGCAGTTATTCAACTTGTCATAATGTATGTTACTCAAGTAAAGGGTGTGAATACTTCAGACTCATGCTAGTATAATCCTCCATACTAACCCCCATGTGAGGCAGAGTCTCCCTCTAGTGTTTAGTATCAGTATTGACCACCACCACCACCTCCATCCCATAGTATTAGCAAAGACATACAGTATGTACATTGTCACATTTTTCCAATATGATGAAAAACCTGATGATGTATATTAAATATTCTTTAGTCCTCACCATGCTTGTTGATTCTGAGTGATGTCACACTGCTCCTTTACATAACTGCATGGTGCATCAATAAATCCTCCATATGTGATGAACCACATACCTTTTTGTGATTTGAGTCCATGTTTTCCTGTCAGACTGGAGTCCCAGATGACCTCAGACATCCAGGCCATCCTGCACCTCCTCCAGAGGCAGACCACGTCCGGGCCCCCCGCCTACAGCACCGTCACCTCCAGCCCCGAGTACCAGAGGCCGGCCATCAGGGTGCAGCCGGTGTCGGCCCTGCAGGCGGAGTTCAGCCTGGACCCTGCTCCGCCCCGGCCTCAGGTAATAAACCACACATTCAAGACATTAAGGAAAAAAACACATATATTGCAAATATTGAAAGTCTGTAAGGGCATTGGCTTGAACAGTGTGCTCACTCTGATCCGTCTTCACGCTGTGTTTCTCCTCCAGAGCCCGGAGAAGACCCCGAACAGATCCACAGACGGCTCCCCGGTGCTCCTGCGACCCAACGCTCTTCCAGACGGGGGCGTGGCCTCCCTGCTGGAGACAGACTGGGCCTCGGAGCAGAGACACACACAGGACAGCTCCGTGGAGCCCCCCCCCCCACCAGAGGCTGCCGTCAGGCCGACAAGCCTCCCTGCCCGAAGCGGGCTCAGCACCGTCAGCACTGCAGCGGCCTGCGTCTGACCCGGGGCTCCCAGGAAACTAGCCCCCCCCCCCCCACCTCTCCTCTCAAGCTTGTCTCAGGGTCTAAGAAAGAGACTGTATATGCAAAGGCAACTGTAGACTTTCTTCCATTACTTTTACGGACTCTCTCGCCCCTCTCTGATTTAAATGTATAAAGACTATTTATACAGAGGTATTTATATTATTACCACGTGTAAAGTCATCATCCGACGTGTACATACTTTATAGAACACTGCCAGCAACACGAGGCACCTGATGTGCTTTTTCTAAAACTGATATGCATGTTTTACGTTCTGACGGTTGCTTTTCTTCCTGTGGCATGTTCCTCACTCTACTCTCTCCAGGACCTCTGTAGCTGTCACCTCTCTTTTCTAACGCCCCCCCCCCCCCACAGGGAATCAGCTACATGAAAATCTTCCCGAGGCATTTCCACAAGCTCTGATCTTTCTATCAGCAAATTCCAAAACGTCCACGCAGAGATCTGCCGCTATATTTAGCATGCCTGATTCCACCACAACGGATAACAAGCACTGAGAATACACAGCGCAGTGTGTGAGGCTGCGCTGACATCCCACAACCACACGTCAGTCTTTGAGAGCAATAACGATCTCATATCTCTAGAGACGAATCCGCTCTGGAGATCATTTTGCACGTGAACAAAGTAAAGGGCCTCTTTCAGCTGCAGTTATGTTCCTTCACATGTTTCAGACAACATAATGAATGCTTGAATTATTAGATTGAAAAACACATATTTACCCTAACCACCTGAATCCTATCAATATAACAGAAGCATGGCTGTGGGGGGTTTGCAGTTCACTCTAGACTTGTAAGGGTCAGCGGGTGTTTCTTCACATTACTATTAGGGCCATTGTATCTGGAAATGAAAGATATGAATCTGGAGAACAGAACCTTCACTTTGCAAAGCTGTGTGTTCCTTTGTTTGTTTTCAGTGAAGTAGGGACTTAAATCTGTTAGAACATATTTAAACTTTCTTGCAAATTATTAAGAGAAAATATTTGATATTTGTAAGTGTTCTCTTGTTAATTAACCACTTAAAACTCAGAGAATATCCATGCGTTTTCTCTATAATGTTCTTTATTTTTGACCCAAAGACATTTCTCCTTCATATGCTAACCGACAGGAAGTGACATCTTGAATCTCCTTCACACCCTGAGTGAACTCTGACGATCCCACGTGATAGTTTTCAGTTGCATGCTTAAGGTCTTCCATTGTCTTCTTAAAAAGTACAATTTCCTAGATAAAAAACCACGAGAAAAAAAGAGAAAATAGTTGTCCATGTTTTCGGGCCGCCTTCCTTAGCCTTAGCTTTAAACGCCTGCTCTAGCCTTGACACACGACGGCGACCCGGTGCAACAGCGCCACATTTAAAGGAACCACGTTAGGGTGCATGAGGAAAATGAATTAGTCATTTCCTAACCACACACTCCCACACAAGCTCATGTATTGCATGGAGACGGCACTCAATTATAACAAGGTCTCAAACTGTTTATGACATTTGGAAGGAGATTTAGAAATAACGCTTCAACCTATTTTTCTAAAACAAAGTTTCATTTGCCATTATTTTTCTATGACCTTATTGTTTCCCCCGAGATGTTGAGGGGAAGGCTTTGGAGTGCAGAAGGGAAGAAGATGAATGCAATGTAGCAAGCAACACTTCAGTGACGGGCTTTAGGCTGCATGAAACATTCATATTGCACATCATATCATTTCTACTTCTTCAACGCAACTCTTTACTTTGTTGAAAAACCCGGGGAAACCTTATTTAAGAAAAGAGAAACCACACGGATGCTCCAGCAGGGTGTCCTCCATCTTTCTTTCTCGAGCACAGATGTAGAACAAAAGTTGCTGACGCCTATCGACTCCACGCGTCCTGAACACTTTTCCATGGGATTTGCTAACTTTTGCACAGATTAGAAAACTTGCTGTACTGGATAACAATGTCCCTTTTGAAATACTTAGTGCTGTTCACAATTGTTTTTATGCATTTTTTTAAATGTTTGCCACTGTATTTTATACAATGCAACACTTAACAGCTCATTTGAATGTTTCTGTTCTTAACTATATTTAAATAAATGAAATATATCATGTAAATAGACTGGGAAAAAAAATGCGCAATTGTATAAATGAATAAACAGAATGCATACCGATTAGAAAGTGTTTATTGTGAGTAACAAAATATGATCTGAACTATGGCAGTAGGAGTGTGCAGGGCATCTTTACAAAGTACAACCGGCTAGGTTTGTAGGGAAACATTCAAAACAAAGTGTGAAGCTGCACAAATCTCAGGCTTTATCTCACTAGCATTATTACAGTATCACAGTCACTTTGGCTCGTTATCAACTTTCACATCAAGCTAATCTAAACTTATACAAAACAGAAATAAAAAATATGGCAAGGAAGGAGAAAGCTCTAATAAAACCATAGCCATACAGTTCAGTGGCATATGAACATGTTTTGTGTAAATGCTGCTAATATTTCATCATTAATCATGATGCTGCCAAACAAGGCTCTCTAGAAGCGACTTTCATATATTAGCGTACATTCAGATTATAATGGCACATGGTCGACACATCCAGCATCACTCTGGCATCCAATCGAAGATTTTTAAAATGTGTTATAAATTATTCTAATTCCTCTAATATGAATACATACTGTGTTTATATAGATTTATATATGCGCCTGATTCAGCAAGTCCCTGTGTGACTTACAAGACTAAACAGCAAGCGTTACAAGCATGAGTACTTTCCTGTTGCAGCTCAGTCAAATATACTGGCGCCCTTTGCATTCCCATGAGGCAGTGGTCCAGACTCCTCCTCTGATTGGTCGGTGCAGCCTTAGATGGCCATCGTGCACAGGATGAACTGGTGACAGAAAGAGAGAGAGATGGAATTAACCTCAACAGGATGTGGTGTTTGAAGCTGCTCTGAGCGGTTTCGTATGCAGGTAAGCCGCAGCTGCATGGAACTAAAGAATAAAGGTCAAATTCAATTCTTCAATCAGTAGGCAGCAGGCTGTGAGTTGAAACATCTGGACTTAAGCCATGTGATGCAGTGATATCTCCACAGGACTCACGTCATCGTACTGGAAGGAGACGGCTCCCTGCTGCATGGTGTCTCTCCGTTTGAAGGTCTCTGCACCAGGAACAGGAAACATCAGCGTCAATAAACACATTTCACGCTCAGTCCACATTAAACATCTGGACAGCAGTGTGTTCAGTGAACGTGTGTGTGTACCTGTGAGAGCGCGCAGTCTGACGCAGCAGGCCACGTAGTCGTCGAAGTAGATCCTCCCTCCTTTGTTGTAGCGCTTGATGATCACATTCAGAGCCTGAGGGCCGATGCGGAACCCTGAGGAACACAGAAGAAGATTAATATCAGGCCCAAAAACGCAGAATCCATGTGCATTTTGTCTGGACTTTCAAGTCATTTTTGTCTTCATGAAGTGTCCCTCCCTCATGCTTCAGCCTCACCCATAGCGTAGACGGCCTGCCCCATCTCCTGCGGCTCCACAGTGCCGCTCCTGTCCCGGTCGAACATCACAAAGTTCTGCTTCCAGCCGTTCAGAGCCGCGAACAGGTCCTTGAACTCGTTGAAGCCCATCTTCCCCGTGGAGTCCCGCTGCACACACTCGGGTTAAGATTCATAACTGCTGACCCACAGGTATAGAAACAGCAGGCAGCCATTGACATACACACAGCTGGTTAACCCGGTTCAAGGACAAACACCACCACTACTGTACACATACTTCCATGGTGAGTGTGAGTGGACAATAGGAGCAGCTGAGGGGACTCGTTGGTATTAAAGTTAGGATACATCCAGCATTGCGATCATGACTCTGCAAGTCTCCAGGCTGAAAGCTGTGATGAGAAAATAAAGGGGGAAATGAGCTAGGTTTAAAGTCCATGTTTTCACACTTAACTTTAGTGCTAATTAATCCATCTGCTGACGGCGAAATGTGTTCAATATGTCCCTGATGAATGAATCCATGCTGTTAAAAAGGCTGTGCTTGTATTCAACTCTGTGCACTTTCTCAATCTCACAGTAATATTCATTACAGTCTTTAACTGTTAGTCTTTATTCACGAAAGGTAGTATAATAATATTGCTAATAATATTTTCTTGGTGAGCTCTTATGCCACCAAAAAACACAAATATTGAACTTAGATACTCTTCATGTTACGTCATGTATGTAATCTGCAACATATTCTCACATATTTCGTGAACTACCACTTCCTTCTCCTTTATACTAATGAATATTCATTTTTCACATGCACTGAAAGAGACTGTCAGCTGTCAACCAATCACAGAGGAGATAATAGTGGTTTGACACTTCCCGTCCAGAGAAATACATCACTATTAGGCATTTTGTTAGTGTTTTAAAGCCCTCTAAGTTTGCGAGTACGGCCTTTTAAATGCATGATGTAAAACAACTAAAAACTCATGGTATATTGTCTGAGGCAGTGTTCCTCTCTTGTGGAAGGAGTCGTGGACTTACGAGAGTAGGATCCGGTGAATCCACTCTGAGTGAGACACCTCTGCAGCTCCTCTGCATCCACCTCTCCGTCCTGAACACAGCAGGGGGGGGGGGGGGACACATTATAGTTTTACTTTTGTGTAGGCATTTTAAATCTTCCACAGACTTCCAAAGGACCACTTTAGATAAGGTAGTGTAGTGAGTCATTCATTACTGAAAGAGTGTGAAATCAAGTTCAAACAGAGCCCTGCTTCCTCTTAACTTATAGTAACTGAACCGATTCATGAAACCTGATATGTCTGCAGAGAATGTCCTCTTTGTGACCACACTTCAAAATGAAAGTGAAAGCTAGACTTTGGTAAACCGGTGGCTTTTATAAAGGCTACGTGTACTGTGTGCACTCCTGTGAGTTCCTCCACACTCACCTGGCCTGCAATGGCGGTGAAGTAACCCCACATTGGGTCATTAGCAGCAGCTGGGGCTGGGGCGCCGTACGAGCCTTGATATCCTCCTCCATAGGCGGCATACCCTCCCTGATGGGGTGCGCCTCCCATCTGCCCACCCATCTGCCCACCCATGTGCCCGGGCATGGGGCCCTCCCATGGGGCCTCCCATGGGCCCTCCCGGCATTCCCGGCATCCCCTGAGCTGGCATTCCCGGCATGGGACCGCCATACTGAGGCTGGGGACACATCAGAGACCAGGGTGGGTGTCATTAAAGACTCTCAAATCAAGTTTATTCAAATGTAGAAAACAGGATACAACTACCACGGATTTTTCTCACTTTCAATGGTTACTTATTATTATATAACTCACATAAAGACTTTTTAAAATAGCAATTCATTGATCTTGACAACAGTTTGGGAAACGTGATATCTTGTTGTGCTTGTAATATATAAAGAATGCCAGTGTTGCATTCACTGACTGCAGGTATCAACGTGAAGTGATGCCTCCCTGACTGTCACTCTGGAGGCCTGCTATTGGCTGAGGAACAATAAGCTTCTAACCCCTATTCATCAAAACTGAGGAGTCACTGCATTCCACACTTAGACGTAGATAAAAGCGATGTTTTTGTTTAATATACAAAGCTTAAAAGGAGGTGTCTTGAGTCCCATTTTTCTAGTTGAATTGAGTAAATACAGGCCAGAATTGGGTCCTCTTTGTAATCAATGAAGGATTCCCAGAGGCAGATGTATAGGCCTTAAAAAAAGATTGGCATAATATAACACAGGTAAAACCTCTATCATATAAACACGTTTAGTAGGTCAAAGGATTTGCATATCCTCTGGAATGTTGGGGATTCTTTTCTCCCGGAAGACATTTTTCCGACTCAATTTCTAATAAAGTGGAGAATAATATGGCTCCTTACTTCCAAATTAAACCGAACAACCGTAACTTTTTCTTCTGATAACATATGTAAACCAAACTAATGTCTGCATGAAGATAGGAAACAGATGTATGACCTGTGTAACAGAACAACTTATTATCGCTATAGTATTCGCTCAAACAGCCCCAGGCTAGCTTTTCTGCTAACCAATGTAGCTCGTTTAACAGTATAACAATACGATAACATATCATTAACTCACCGCACCGTATCCAGGATAAGCCATTTGGTGAAATAGGGAAAACTGTAGCAAGTTTTATATCTTTATAGTGGGAGTGACGGTATACAAGGGTTTCTGTGAATACACGGTAGTAACTTCCGATACGTCTGAGCAGTTGCTACATCACATCCGAGCTGCAGAGAGCTGTCGGGAAGTTAGTTGAGTGACGGGGGAGATAACCAATAAGCGAGGAGCAGTAGAAGAAGACCCGCCCATCAATTGTTTAATGGGTTGCGTTTAGGTAATCCTCGTACATTTCACCTACCCTAAAACGACAGACAAAATGGTTTGAAATACAAATATTTAAAGGAAGAACATGAGTAAAAAACAAGTAATACATTTGAAAAAGATACATTCATCAAGCTGTTAAACACTTTTCCCCTTAATGTAATTTTTGGTAAATTGAGTTACGCTTCTGGTTGATTTTAAAGTTAAGAGTCTCCACTTTTCCAATATTTACCAACTTCTCACTAAATTCTTCTTCACTAAATATTTAACTGTCATGCATGGCTTCATGTCACCACTAGATGGTACTTTTGAGACACTTTGTCCACAAACAAAAATATGTACTTCATTTCTATAACCTGAGTTAATGCAATGACAGTTAATTAGTTTAGCAATTTTTAAATAGAGGCAACTCAATGTGATTTGCAAATGGAAAATTAATACAGTATACATAAAATCAAAAATCATAATAATTAGCTGAATTGTATGGGTATAACCTACTCCCTTTTTATTTATTTGGTCTCTGCTTTATAAACCTTGAAGGAAAGAGCTAGACAAAATAGGAAATGCACACAGAACATGTATGATGTGAAAGACAGTATACTGTGAAATAAACAAATCAGAAGTTACAGGAGCCACATCTACCCTGAATGTCGCCCTTCAGTCAAACTCAGAGGAAATGTGCTGTGAATAGAACACAGAAAAAGTGTGTTGGGTTATATGGTGAGCAGGTAGCGGGTGGTGTAGGGGAAGTTGCCGTGGTTGTCACAGCTTCCTGTTGAGCTCTGTGTCATGGCTCTAACTTAACCAAACATCTGTGGTGGGAGGTGACATGCTGACACTCATT